GATGGCGAAATAATCGAAGCATATGTAATGCTTTCTTCAACATCAAAACTCTACACAAATATTTCCCAATTTTTCAAGAAAATAATCAATTACTAATCGAGAATTTGAACAAGCAAGTTGGGAAAACGGAGCTTTTCGACCTTGGGGAGTACATCGCTGACACAAATATGGATTCAATATTTCGTAAGATATAGTAGATTAAGATGTAATTAATTAAGAATTCCACCAGATTAATAATGTGATGTCGATTATTGAGGTTCTTATATAATTTACCAGCCTCAACCAGCCACACAACATAACCTATATAAACTACCACCTAAAAAGTATTATAAGCATGGCGAAGGATGTCTTGGTTTTGGTATGTTGAAGAGGTCATTTTTGATTTTCCAAGTAGTTTTCGAAATAGTTGGGAAACAGAAATCAAAATTATAAAAAATCCAAAAGGGTGTAATATATTACCATTTGTTGCCGGTTTAATTCATATCCAATATTTCAATATGGGTGCGCCGATGGTTAAAAAAAAATCGTTAAGATTACACGTTAGGAAGTTATACTAATAATAGAGCATATTCCAGTTTCTGATATTTCGAGGCCACACAGATTAGATTTCTATTGAAAAATTGTTCAATTATTTATTTTTAACGACAATCTCATGATGATTACAAGATTACGAGTCTGCCTATTCTAATTGATATTAGGCTACATACAGCAACCATAATTTACCTAGTTGTTAGTAGCGTATAGAACATACTCAATACTGTATATTATGATGAAGTATGTTTGTGTACACACGAATCAATAATAATTGCTATAATTAGATATTATTTTATACAACTTTTTTAATAATTTAACACATGTCTTAACATTATAGTGAAATAGTAGCTAAGAGTAAGTTCAGAGCGTAACAAAAACACTACGAATATATTATAATAACACAATATTTTTTTGGTCCTGAGGTGATGGGGTTTAAACTCAAAAGTGCCTCCCCGTATATACGCCGCTGCTTTTTTTCGTGGAATTTTGTGTGTATAATTCTAAAAACCTTTAAAATTTACTAGGTTTATGCTCATCTTACTGCATCAATTTAGTCATTTTTGTCGGGCTGAAAACCCTGTATTTATGTAATATGTTCGTTTATTATAAAACATAATCCAATTAAAATATTTTTTTCTATAGATATCATATTAGGATACGATTTGAAACAGCAACTATCTGGCACTTCGACTACAATACGCATTGGTGTAGAATTGTATGAACTCCATAACATCTTAGTACCTAATTTCAAATTGCATTAAATTTCGTCGTTTTATTTTTTAGAAATTCAAAGATGATTGGGCTGAGAGCTTACCAAATTTGGTTGCATCCAAATTTCATATTCAAATTATACCAAAGGTTGACCGGAATTTCAAAAACAATAAATAGTGGATATTATATTTTAGATCAGGTAGATAACGAATTAAGGTATATCCCGTCATTTCATTTATGTGTGCTGTCCGAATAATTTAAATATTATATTGCGGAAATAGACTATCAGTTATCGTGGAAATATTAATTTGTACTTAAAACAAGCCACAGGCTTGATTTTAGATTCTGAGTGGAGTAAGGAATGTATAGTTTTCACAAAAAGGTGTTTTTTCTTTTTTCCATGAACAAGTTTTCTACCAGCAATTTTGCTCCAGTTTACAATAATAGCACTTTTTTTTGAAAGGGAATCAGGTTGAGGAGGTATTTTAAGTAGCTTTTTTTTGATTTTATATTTTTGTTTATTGTCATTTAAACTAAATACACAAACCATACGAATCAAATAAAAAATATGACCTAATTGGTCTTTTGAAATATAAGTCGAATAAAAACTTTGTCCATGAACCATGCGAAGTGTCCGTTTATATTATGGATAAGACGATTTCAATGAAACTTATAGTTAACTTTTTAATACTTTTTTTTAATAATTGATAAACTTTTATCTCATTCGATGAAATATCATGACAGATTCAGAAAAGCAAAGTGAAAAAAACTCAATAAAAATGATTTATGGGCATTGAAAACGAACTGCATAACATTAGTATTGTAGACGCCATATTAAAATGTAACCGTACCTAATTCATTCCTACATAATTAAACATTTTTATAGCTAGTATATTAGATTTAAGTTTGTGGATCGTTTCAAGTAGGGAGCGATTATACTCCATCTGGGTTTAAATATTAAATTAATAAATATTAGATTCTCACTATGAAATTAGAAGAATTCAAAGAGAAGAAATCAGTAATCAAAAAATACCCCTCGGATTTTACCGATGAAAATTATGGTAAGTTTAAAACTATATTTATATAATTCTGTACGTGTTTTATATTTTTTCATAAAACTTTTTCAGAAAGTTTGTTGGAAACGATTTGGAAATCAAGCGAAAAAATCGAAAACTTTTCCGATAAATTTATCAAAGATGAGATAAGCTTCTTTGTGGGC